ATAGACCAGAATCCAATTAAGAGTTGATGGCAGGACCTGAATGATGCTCTGTATAGACACTCGGATTAGTTATGAGATATTCCACAAACAAAAATAGGCAGAAACTTTAGTCTTTAGACGTGTAAAACTGATTGAGTATTATATTTTGTGTGAAGGTATAACATATTTATTTATCGAGAGCTGTTCTTGTGGTCAAAACAATGCAGAATGACTTGCCAAACATTGCAAACCCACACCAGCACACAGCCAAGGTATAGAGCCACATCTATTTTAAATATTTCTCTCTGCAAATATTTTCTTTCTGTCACCAGTGACAACTCCCTATATTTACGAAGGCCAGTGGCGACGCAAAGGCAACATATTCCTGCTTGTTTTTCCAGCGTGTATAATTTCCATAACACGCTCTGCTATGATTTGGAGGTGTCTGGACGGCTGATGAGATCGTCAAACTCTGGAGAGTGGGGTGATGACCTTCCACCTCATCCATCACCCGGTGATGGACATGGGAAACCGGTCCCTGACAGGTTTGGAGGACAAGGCGGGGGTGGAGAGTACAAATGGGGTTAAGGGTAGGAATGAAGAGGGATGGTGGTCGCCACTGGATGAAAGAACGGAGGGGGCAGGGGGGGCGAGGAAACTGGAGAGAAGTGTGGCCAGGATTGAGGTCAGGGATGTATGATTTGGGAATTACAAGAGCCACAGCGAGCCTGGTTAAATGTTTGTGTGGGGAGGGACAAAGATGGATTATCTGACAGTACTGGGCATCTATTAAATGTGAAATATTAACAAAAATGGGCTAAAATCTTAAGTATTTGGAAGATTTGAGTTCAGGAAAACGTGATTTATTGCTTGTGATTTATCATAAACATTTGATAGTAGGCACTGCATAATTCTAATCGTTTGCATTCAGTCCCCTTTAATATCCATAAATAAAACCCATTTTAACCAGTTGGCCAAAGAGTATGGTGGAAATCAACCAACACATGGATGTCAACTTAACATGGTAGCAACTAAAAGCTACCTTATAAGAGCAGTAGACATCCACAGCTATGGCTAATAAATATCCAATCCAAAAACGTTAAAAACATTACACCTTTCTTTTATTAAAAGGGGGATATTATGCAAAATCAACTTCTTTGACCTTTGTCATGTTACAATGTTACTCCTTCATCAAAAGCAAACCCAGAGTGTAGCTTTGATTCACTCATGTGTGTTTGATGAATCCTCCCTCACTTTAGCTCCTTCCATCTCGCTGTAGCAGCACCAGGAAAACACCTGGTGGAACTTTGAGTCTTTAGAGCTCGTCACTGAAGGGTTGTAAATGACATCATGGAGAAGCACTGCTGGGATGATATTAAATATGATATTAAATGTATCTACTACACAGAATTCTTATGCAATAACATGAAGAAACTGCATCAGAGTGTAAGTGGTCTGAATGTCTTTGCAAAGCACCATAAGAGTACACACCCAGGGTTTTGATGGTTTACCTAAAATCAGACGAATAAAAATGAAAGGAATCAGGCCGGTCCAGTAAAAGTCATGAATCTGGCCCTGGGGAGCGAGTTACACGCAGAGCAAACAATAAGAAACACATCCTTCGACCCATGAAGCCAGAGCAGGGATGTGCCATTCTTACCCACTCCCAAATGTCAGGGTGAGGTAGCGACCTTTGACCCTCCCCATCTAATGAAGCGCTATCATTTTTTGGTGTTGTGATCATATGTTTTCCTCTGTCTGAGCTAAATGTAGGCACGTCTAGACGCTACTTTCTGTTTTACTGCTGCTGCTCGCTCTGTGTTGCGTGCATCGTGTCAAAAGTTCACTTTTTTTTTTTTTGAGGAAGTTGAACAAGACTCCTTCCCCTCTCCTGTCTGACAGCAGCTCCACGCCTGGCATAGTGAAACCAGGAACAGGCCGCAGCGGAGCGGACCCCGGTTCACTCTTACTCAGAGACCTGCTGTTTCACTTTTTCACTTTAATTTCATTGCGGAATATTTTCTTGTTTTTTTGCACTGGAGCTGGTTTATCGAAGCTCATCTGCTCACCATGACACAAACATCACGGTTACCGTGTCTTGGGACAGATTAGAGTTTATTCCATAAATAAGGATAAGCTATTGTGGGGGCACGAAGCACAACAAGGATTGACATACATGTGGAAGCTTAAAACTGGCCGATTTTGTCTTTTTGTTGTTGTTTTTTGTTTTGTTTTCTTTCTAGTAAAACCAAGAAATATTTCTACTAATCACTACATAATTCTGTCGTGTTTTTGTGCTCTTTATCTTTGGATACATGCATGCATGCGTGCGTGTGTGCGTGTGTGTGCGTGTGTGTGCGTGCGTGCGTGTGTGTGCGTGCGTGTGTGTGTATTGTGTAAAACAACAAGCTGCCCTTGCTTGTCTTCTGCTGGCCGGGGCCTCTGTGGGTTGGACAGTTTGTGAAAATGACAGGACATGCCAACAAATTGCATCATTTCTGCCTCTGTGGCCGAGGACAATGGGCCACCATATGCTGAAGTGGGGAAATGAATGGAGCTCATTTGTGCTGGCACCCCGAGCTCTCCCCCCCCTCGACCCTGCTGGGGCCCTCCGTGGCACCGGGGCCGAGGCAGACAGACAGGGTCGCTCTGTGCCACGCCGCTGGACCCCGCCGTCCTCTGCCGCGTCCCCGAGTGCGACGCGCACGTTTCTGTGCAGCGCGACGATAAGCAAGACAAAATATAAACATAATAAATTAAAAGTGTGTCCTGACAGAAGCAGGACTTTGATTGAAAACACTTACAGTTTTCAGACTGAATAACATCCCATGTGGGACCTTTCAGTTCCTGCGTCTAAAAGTAACTGTAAGGACAACTTTCTGTTTGTCTGTTTTTGTGTGTGTGTGCGTGTGTGTGTGTGTGTGTGTGTGTGTGTGGGTGTGTGTGCGTGTGTGTGTGTGTGTGTGTGTGTGTGTATGCAGGTCTGGGATGATAGCAGATGATTAAGGAGTGGCTGCTCTGTTGACATGAGATACTAATGAGGATGAAATGAGAAGGTCAGGGCTCGTCTCCAGGAGGGTGGGGGGGCTCTCCTCCTCCCCCGCCGTCACCACCCGCTCTTCCCTCCCTCTTCTTCTATCCATGTACCCCCGAGTTGCCTCCTTTCCTCAGGATGGACGGCTAATCCCCCCTCTTAATCGGAGCAGGCTGGCTTGTGCACAGTAACACATCTACACACTTCCAAACAGGCCTCTACATCTTCATAATGGAGGTAATTAGTTGTTCAACAAGGCCAGCTCAGCATTATGATTAGCACCTTTCTTTTCTTTCTTTTTTTTTTTTTTGAGTCCACTTAAAATTTGACCACTTAGACCCTCTGTTGTCAGTTCATTGTGCTCGATGCAGCCAACACAGGGGACAGCAACGGGTTTATAAAGCAGAAGCTTTAATTAATCCCGTCCCAGAAATGTCGATTAACAGTGTGTCGGACCAAAACCAGCAAGTCAACACATTACCTACCGTCGCGTAGTCAGGACCCGTGTGAAGTCTGTTAAATGCAACTCCGAATCATTTATGGTTCTCTAGGTATTTCCGAACCCACCAAACTTGTTTGGATTAAAATGTGTCTAAATGAGTTTAAAGTCAAGATCGTTTTTGTGAAGATGTGTGTCATAAATGCACAAAATTACAGGTGTGTCGTCAGTGTCGACCGATACCGGCTGTAAAATTTTAGAAGGTCACTGCGTCATAAAGAAAAAGAAAAACACATTTTATATTGGTTATTTTATGACAAACCAGTGACAATGATGCCTGCAGCACAGCACAACTCTGGATGTCATGAATACATTTAACATCAAACATGACGCAAGTCGAAAGTGTTGCATCATTTTCAGTCTCTTTTTCAGCATTTGGCAGCAGGCTAAGTTGTCAAAGATAATGCAGTATTTTAATTCCACAGTAGAGAAAGCCATGTAATTTCAGAAAAAAAAAAAAAATTGGTATCGGTTATCCACCAAATGAGTTAGTATGTCGGCACACAGGATGTCGACCAAAAACCTCGTACCATGCGTTCCTCATCATAATACACCTGCGTGAACACACCGAAGCTAAAGTTTCGCTTACTTTTTCCACCATGTTTTTGCAAGTAAGTTGGGTGATGCAGTTCTTACTGGAAAATATTGTTCAAGTTGAGGTTGCGATTTTTATTTTGCAATTTCAGACTCTGACTCTCATGAATCTTATTACCTTATTTACCGGTGAACAGAGGAAGGACTGCAGTCCACCGTTATAGTATATATTGTGATGTTGTGATGAAATGCCACCTAAGCAGCCAGTCCAGCTGTGAAATTTCCGGCCTACAAATCCTTCTGTAGTCAGCTGTTAGTGGTATCATAGGGAAGTGGAAAGGATTTGTCAACTAAGCCATGAAGTCACAGTGTCTTGGTGAGTCTTAGTGGACTTTCAGCTTTTCAGTGAAATTAACTCTTATTGCTTCCGCATGGTAAATACATTTTGACCATTTCATGGGTCTTGCTTTCTGAACTGGTGCGCTGCCATGTTTGATCGGAAAGAGACTGAGCTCCGGTGCAAAAACAAAGATTCACAGAGATGAGCACGTTTGGTGTGGAAGGACCAGACGGTCTGGACCTCAACCAATGTGAAGACCGCAAGCTCTTGTGGATAATTGTTCAAAACCAAACGAGCAATCAAAAACTAGAAATTACAGGAAGCCTCCACAGAAGATTTGAAGTTGTTTCAGCTGCAGATGGTCTGATATCATGCAAAACACTGAAGACTAAGACTTGAATGTCACTTAGTTTCATCTATCTGTGAATGATGACCAGCAAATAATGACAATATATAGAATCTCCAAAGCCAATATAACTTTGACATAAAATGGTAGCTTGAAAGCTGATGTTGGCTGACTACAGGTGTGTTTATGACATGTCAAAAGTAAGTAAAAAATGTCCCAGAAAAAAAAAAGGCTTAAACATGTGAGTTTAGCCAATGTCAAAAGACAATTAAATGAAAAACCTTTTTTATTATTATTATTATATTCATAATACAGAACTGACATTGGAAACGTGACTAAATTTCTCTGAGATGATTTAAACCTCGACTGGCGAACCTGGCAGCTCAGAGGTTTAACACAGGTGGGACAACGTTGACCTCAGTTGATTTTTTTGCCTGCATAAATCACTCGGACACATGGAGAAGATGTCTAGAAACTGGTTTTAAAAGGGTTTTTCCATTTAAAACAGTTTGTTGCCAACTAAGTCAAAGTTGGCCACCCTTTCCCATCTACAACTCTGAGCTTTCTGGGTAAGAAAATTAGTGCAAAGCTTCCTTTGATGGGGAGAAACTAACTTATAAAGCAAATATTGCTCTGGTTCTTAAATCCACACATCTGGGTGTCCCTGTTCTTGTTCAGATTTCACGTAAATATTTATTCCCTGAATGACAAAATCCTTCTGATGGAGCGAAGGTTAACGGTATCATTAATTTGAAAAAGAAACGGTGTTGCCAGGGTTTTCTTGGTCTCCTCTTCATGCAAAGATGAAGTCATGTAATCAGAGATAACCTAGACAAAAGGCAGTGCTGACGGCTGTCCAGTGATGCAGAATAACAACTTGTCTGAGTGTAGAGGAGCTCCTAATAAAGAAGGTGTGAGGGTCTCTATCAGCACGGTGAACTGCTGACCCCAACAAGGGGAAGGAAGTACTCAGCCAGCTGCGTGCCATTTTTCATCCCTGGGACGGACCTTTGAAAGAGAGGCAGAAAGAGGCAACATGAGGAAGAGAGAGAGAGAGAGAGAGAGAGAGAGAGAGAGAGAGAGAGAGAAAGAGAGAGAGATGTATAATGGGTCAGATGAGGGGAAAAAATACTCTTGGTCTTGTGAAGTGCAGTGAAGTGTCATATGGATGCCTCCTAAGTCGTGACCTCTGTGAATTTTAAAGACTGTTCATCTCAACTCGTTAATCAAAGGCTGATGCGTATCACAGTGACAGACCACACACACACATGCACACACACACACACACACACACACACACACACACACACACACACACACACACACACACACACACACACACACACACACACACACACATGCACCCAAGAGTGGCCTCAGCCAGGTACCATTTATCTTTTTTTTCCCCCTTCAACACAAAAGGCTCATGGGAAGATAAAGATTCTTTAATTGCCATTCAGTTTCACTGAGGTGTAACAGGATGTATGTTTGATGCTTCCTCCTGTACACATGCAAACGTATTTAACAGAGCGATTTATACAAAGAGGCAGGTTTGACTGAAGCAGAACTGCTCATATAAATGCTGGACATTAAGTTCAAAAAGAAAAACAAGCAAACACACAGCTGTGGAAAAGAGTTAAGACACCACTTAAGACGATCAGCTTGTCTGATTTTTACTCTCTGTATGTGTATGTTTGGGTGAAGTGAATATTGCTCTTTGACAACATGTTTCTGAAATTCCAAGCAAAAAGTTTGGATTCAGTTGCAGAAAACGAGAACTGGTCAAAACGATAAAAAGGATGCAGTGCTCTCGGCTCTCAATTGATGAAAAGAAAACAAGTTCATATTCATTTAGAAACAACAATATTATTGTTTTAACTCGAGAAAAGTTCAGAAATCAATATTTGGTGGAATAACCTGGAGGTTTTCAACGTTCCTTTTTTTGTTTTGTTTTGTTTTTTTTCCAGAGCTGCATATGCAGCAGATTTCAATTTTTACGCTCCACTAATTCAGAACACGCTTCCAGAAAACTGCAAAGCTGCTGGAGCACTGATTCAAATCCGGGCTTAAGCCTCCACCTGTTTAGCATTTCCTTTTGACTAATAACTGAAACAACAACAACAACAATGAACACATCAGATCTGCTTGATGATTTTGATGGCATTTGACAAAATACAATGTTTCTTGCTTGTTCCATAATTGGCTGCTGTATTACGTTTGCGCGGCGCAATGAATTTTAAACAGACATGTAGCTGAAATTCCATACAAACAGACTTCGCTTGACTTCTGACACGGTTCTTATAAGTGAATACTCAACAGGCTCATATTTCTTTTCTTCAGTTACTATCTTGCTTCCTTTAACAAGGATCAACTTGAGTCCTCGCTCTGCCATATTCACTGCAGTTCCAGTTGTTTTGAACCCTTTAATTATTGCTCTGACAGCGCATGGCTAATGTTTGGCCGACAAACTCAGACAAACCCGTCTGCCCAACCTTGAGGGCAGACGTTCGGTTGCCACTCACATTTTGAATGCAAGCAAAGATCAAAGATCACCATTAGAAAGTGCCGCGACGTCCCGATTGACGTAAAACAGTGTAAATTTAAGGCGTCTAATTCAGCTTTGTTTCTGTTTGTAAGACTTAAGTGCCTCACTGTTGACTGTGTAAAAACAAAAAGGATTTTTTTTTTCTAAGAAAACATTCATTTTATGTTCTTTGAGGTGGATACAACAGTAAACCTGCTCGGAAAAGTTTTCCCTGTGTTGCTCCTGTGTGTCGTGTTTGCAGTGCAGAAATTAAAGGCGTCCTAAGTGGGCTGCCTACCACATGAGGACGAAACAGAGCTCCTTAAAACACGCCTCCCACAAGAAGAAAAAAAAAAAATGGACTCCACCAACGACGTGCTGTTGGCATGCAATTTCTTCTCCCCACGGACATCCGATTTCCATCTTCCCCCTGTAACAAAAGACGGAGGTCGTTGTGGAATTCATATGGAAATTAAAATTGATTTTTTTTCTTTTTTTTTTATAGCAGCAAATAAAATATGCTTAGTCACAGGAAACGACAATTTCCGCTTTCACCCACGAAATGAGGCCTCGAGACTCCGGACGACGAAACGTGCGGCGCTGAAATATGAGCGCGCTTCATGAAGGCGCCCGCGGATTAAAGTCTCGTTTCGGCCTGGCGTGATCGCTCTCGCTCACTCTGTTTGATCAGGAGCGAGGGGCGAGGGAGGGAACGAGGAAGAGGGAGAGGAAAGGAGAGAGGGAGGGAGGAAAAATGAGCCTGCCAGTGGTTAATTGAGCATAGAGATTCCTAATGTGTCAGGCGGTGGCCTCGCAGATGAGGGATGGCACTTTTTTACGATGCATCTTCCTTTGTTTCCTCTTCAGGCCTAATGAAGTCGGTCCTCCAGTCGCCACCTGGGCCGGACGTTCAGGCACCACAGACACACTGACCCTCACCCCTTGACACACACACACACACGTGCATGCAAACACCACCCCATCTTCCCTTCATTCACAAAGTCTGATGGCGATTCAACATCTTCAACACTCCCCTGCCGCTTCCTCGGCCTCGGCCAGGCCGGAGATAAACACACACACACACACACACGCCTTGACACACAGGCTTGACCAGAGGCTTTGCTCAAACACTCACACTGTATTTAAACGAGTGTGCAAGTGCATAGAGCACAGCGCAGGTATTTAGCTGGGAGATTGTGATAAACTCGCACTCCAGACTGATATTCATTATATAAACCGCAGACCTGTTTATTTTTACAGTCTCAAAACAGCAAGCATCCATTATCCGAGGTTTTCTCTCGTTTTTTTCCTTTTTTTTTTGTTTGTTTGTTTTTTTGTTGTTTTATTTTTGGGAGGCGGGGTGGTGGGGTTGCTGTCTTTTCATACATGCCTTTAGGTCACCCACTAATGAGCTTAACACTGAGGAAACATGGAAGCGATTAGACCAGGTTTGGCTGTTTCAAAAACACACTCAAAAAAAAAACTAAAACAAAAAACAGGGCGATGATATCGAGCCTTATGATCTTATATTGTCCCGAACGACAAAAACGAAGGGAGACGAGTGATGGAGTCTGAGGAGTACCGTCCTTCTCAAAGAGAATGACTTCACTTAGTTTAAATGTTTTTTTGGTTTATTTGCAGGGGGGAGGCTTTTTAGCTCCCCATTTCCCTTCTTCTCCTTGTCTTTTTAGCAGGCCGGCCTCAAAAACTCCTTTAATACCCCTTTCCCTTTGCTGCAGCCACTCGACCTAAGTAGTTTTTGGTCACCCAAACATGTTCAAGGTGCTCCGTGACCATATGTTTACTCGCTGGGGAGAAGAAGAGCGAGAAGGCTGGACTCTCTGACCTTCACCCGGGTTGAGCAATGAATACTCCAGGCTCCTCTCGCTTGGGTTCATGCCAGGCGAACACAGCAGACAGGCATCCCGGGCCCACAACAGGATCCCCAGCAAGAACGTAATGACACCAATTGGCGGAAGCTGAGAGTGTGGAGGGAGAAAATGTTTCAACTTTTTTAGCTTGCAGTTAGCCCAGACAATTAGCCAGCTAACAGCGGTTTGATCTAGGGGGTCACTTTAAAGAAAAGAAAGACAAGGAATGGCGGTATGCACAAGTAGCATGCTTGACTGCATCGCGGGCGTTGATATTCCTCTTACGTTGGGTAATCTCACCCCAACAAGCGATCAGAACAAAAATAAGTGGGAACAGGATGCAATGTAACATGTTTAGACCATAAATTACAATTGGATGAAATTAATTGTGAGACTCGCTCTACTTCTTGTGATCACTTAACTCCATAATTTATGAAAACACGTAACAGAAAATAAATAAAGTACCACGTAACTGGACATGGGCACAAAATGGTACAGAATGTGCTGTGAATAGGTAAAAGGATGAGCTAAACTAAAGCCATGCAATATTAGCTAGTTCTGTAATAATCTGTTACACAGTTTCAGCAGCAATTGGAAGATCTCGACACAGTTCAAAGGTCAAACAAGCTAACAATGCTACACATGCTAATCTTTTGTTTGTGTGTTAATCATGGGATATTATGAATTCACTCATTCTTTCAACATCAGGTCACATTTCAGTTTCTCAAAGGAAACTGTCTCTCGTAAAGTTTATGTTCTACACGAAACTCTGTCCTCAAGCCTTTCAAATAAACCCAAATCTGACTTCCATTTTTTTTTCTTGTTTCATTCTATAAAATCATTTCCTTATTTACCCCCAGAAACGCATATTTTTAGACGCCCGGCAGTAGAGAGACCTCAAACTGTGGCGACGCTTCCCTGTTTTAGTTCTCTTGGTTTTTACAAACGCATAGTGCCACTATGATAAGAAAATCAGGAGGTTTTTGTTCCACATCCTAGCCTAGTGTTTACAAATTGTGTTCACAATACTAAATCAGGTAAGGTTGTCTTTGAGTTTCAGTCCAGACTCGAGGTACTTCTGGAGAGTTTGTTCTCCAGAAGTCACTTTCTTACATTTTCAGTCTGAGCTTAGCTATGTGACAGACCAGGCAAACGAGCTTTATCTAAAACTAGAAATAAAAGTGTCTAAATGGGAGCAAAAAATAGAGATCTCATTGGTCCTTGTCCAAACTGGGCCAACACAGAGCTTCGAACATTAAAATCAGTTTGCTTGCTCATGGGGAAGTAAAATAATGCCCATTATTACACAGCATTATTTTACTTTCAAATGACCGTCTATTGAATCCCATGGAAAAAATTCAACAATGTTTGATCAGGTCTTTTGCGCTACAAAATGCCCACCTATGAAAAATGTTGAGACTCCTTCTAGTCTGAGGTCCCAACCTCTGACCCAGTGTTCAGCACTCAACTTCAACCCTAACAAATAAGAAATTTCACACTATAGAAATAACCCATTTGTTTTGTGTTTTGTTTTTTGCGTGTGTGTGTGTGTGTGTGTGTGTGTGTGTGTGTGTGTGTGGGTGTGTGTGTGTGTGTGTGTGTGTGTGTGCGCGCGCAGTGGTTGTGTAGCCTCTCCTAGCGCCTTGAATTATACAATCCCCATGGGTACTGAATAAGCAACAGATTAAACCTGCGCTGATAACTGAAAATGTCAGCGTCGTGGAGTCAGCGGGGGGATCTTCAAGGGAGGGAAAGAGGGCTGGAGGAAAATGCCATTACTCTCCAGATAATTTAAACATGTGTTGGCATTTATCTTGGTGGTCCATGTCCGAGCACTAATGACAAACTCTTGTTATTAGTGCACTGAATCAAAGCCAAGCGCGTATGCCCACCCAAAACTGTAATCCCTTAATGTTTCCCACTCTCTAATTTGGAATTACAAAAACCTACGCTAGATTCATAGGTGCAGTAACTCTTCAAAGCGCCGTAAATACAGAGCAACAAAACACATATTTGACCTTGTTTGGTGTGTTTTCTTATTTGGAGCTCTCCTTTCACCGCCGAACTCTTATTTTCGTGGGAAGATTAAATATTTCTGCTTAAAGACACCCTATGAAATGACTCCAGTCACTGCGCGTACACGCACACGCTCCCCTGATTTCGGATGGATAGATAGTTCGGAAGAGAAGGAGGGAGGGGGGAGGCGTGTGTGTGTGAGTGTGTGTGTGTGTGCGTGCGTGTGTGTGTGTGTGAGTGTGTGTGTGTGTGCGTGCGTGTGTGTGTGTGTGGTGGGGGGTGAAATATATAATCTCCTGAAAAGAATGAGGCCCTCTGGGATTTTCTCAAAGTGGCCCCTCTCTGGCCTAGGGTAGGGGGGAATTGGGTGAGTGCTGGTGGTGTGTTGGAGGGGGGGCAGCCAGCGGGGAGGGGTGCGTTAAAACATGGCCACTCCACACTGTAACTTGAGCCAGAAGGGGGCCAATCTGTCAAATAATTAGCTGTTGCCCGGCACAAAGGTTTTATTTGCAGGAATTTCATCGAGGCAGGATTGAATAATATGTCTGTGTGTTGCGCGGGGGTCATGGGAACATCATCTCTTACTGGTGGGCCATAAAAGACGGCTAAATGATAATGAGAAAAGGCTCCGGTAATTCAATTCCTCAAGCGTCGGTTTCCATCTCCCCTCCACTCCTCCCTCCTCCTACTTCCCCACTCTCTCTCTCTCTCTCTCTTTTTGTCCTTTCTTTTCTTTTTTTCTTCCTTCCTTTCTTTCTTTCTTTCTGGGCAGCTAATTGCCAAACTTTGTGTTGATGTTGAAGTGGTCTGATTCGGTGTGCATGAAAACACACGCTTATTTTTCACATGCACCAACAGAAACAGAACATTTACGTGGAATCAAAATTCCTCCTTTGAATTTGTAGTGTTTTGGCAACAGAAACTTGATCGAGCATCAGTCGTCTAAGCCTTTGCGGAATTAAAAATTAGACAGAATCAAAGAAAAGTAAAGGAATAAAACGCTTAATTCTCTCTGAAAATAGATTTAAATAACTTAGAGTATCAGTCCCCCACCTATGGAGAGCAGAAGGTATAATTAAGGATGAGCAGTTCTCTGCCTAAACCCACTGGCTAAGTTATCTTCTCTTTTTTTTTCTTTTTTTGTACACTGACCTTTAACCTCTAAAAGCAACCAACCAGGAAGTGGCTAGTGTTAAAAGGGATTGATTGGTTCATGGCCCGTGGATGATTGTTTATATCATTCCATACTGGAGGTTTGACCCCTGCTGACCCCTCCGAGGACCAATCCTCTGAGAGCCATGACCTGTGTCCATTTGCAATGGCGCTAATTACCTTTGACGGCTTTCGTTTTGCATCGGGGCAGTAAAACGAAGCCCCCGCAGTGGCCTGATTGAAGCAAGCCGCCGCCCGGCCGCTCCACGTCATGCTTTCAACCTCCTCCCCACCCCACCCACTCCTCCACCCGACCCCCCAACCCCTGCATGTCAAACACATTAAACTTAATGTACCAGCAAATCTCGCTCAATTATTTGTATGTCGCAGA